AGTGAGTCTTGGGGAGAAAATCTGGTGTGGGTATCCAGCCACCTTTCTTGGATACTAGATTGTATTAGTGTTTTCATCTCTTGGTGGGTTAAGTCGCTATTTGGTTGTACCATGTCACTGCCTCTTCTGGCCAATCTGTCCGCTATTTCATTGCCGTCCAAGCCACAGTGACCTGGAATCCACTGCAGTACAGATTGTTCTACTGAAGAGCCTAAGTAAATCAGCTGTTGCGTCAAGTCTACAAACTGAGTGTCTTTTGGGTTAACAATTGCTTGTAGAACTGACATAGCATCAGTCAGAAAGACCACTCTGCTATATTTGCTGTGCTGTTGTCCATTCAGGAAAGAACATGCTGCTAGAAGTGCTTCTGCCTCTGCTCTGTAATTGGAGGAATATGAACCTGTTGGTACAGCCTGGTTGATTTTTAAACCATTTGGGCATTGATCGGTATCGGATAAACGTGCGTTCGATATCCTCGTCACATGCACACTCACAATGCTTTCTCATTCCAAGAGAGGCAGGTAACACATGCCTTTAGAGTGATTGTAGTCTGTAGGTTGTCTCATATATACGATCTTATAGGGTCTTTTCTGGTTTTCTGCGTGTTCAGACGAAGAGTTTTCAGATACAAGTTTATCATAGCATTAAGCTTCAACTTTTTGTTAATTATTACAGGAGATTTCCAGCCCATTTTCCAGACTGGGTTAGTTGGGGACGGAGCGTTTATGGGAATATTCAAGGTGATGTGATTCCGGTTCTTAGTCCTCGACTCTTTATAAACTAACTGGTTTCCATTTGAATTTTGTAGTCGATGTTCCGCGTGTCGCTTGTATGTTCCAGGAGGAACATACCCGTGTTAGGCTGGGTCAGCCCAGCATCCTAGATCAGGGCATTCAACTAAGTTTACTCAGGGGGCCAACATTTTGAAAATGGGGATCGTCATGAGCCAGAGGCATAGAAAGTTAGTTAGTCGTTACTGTTCCGGCATCACAGCAAAAGAGCTTGGTCCATAATTGCTCAACCGCCTATGCCAGTGATTCCAGTCACAAACTGAGTCAGATACGCTGGATACTTCAAGTGAATGCAGTAGCCATACAAAGTGTCTTCAGTCAGCAAAACACACGATTTGATCTGGCAAACCATAAGGTGCATGCCACTGCGAGACCAGGTGTCATCGCTGAAAATCGACTTCATTAAACCATAGAAAGATCATTAATACAAAACAACAGGCAGTGCAATGATCTGCAGGCCGCTTGCTATTTGAGCTGCGGGCCGCCAGTTAAACAGCCCTACTAGAAATAAATGTAATAAAATCATCCCCAAAACTCCATTCTTTGTTCTCGAAAAGATTGAAGCATGAAAACTGAACTTCCAGAATATCTTATCTGATCTTGTGTTGCCCTGTCACTGTCGACTTAGCTAACGACAGCTGTTGGCTTCTTTTCTTTTCTTAACCCCCCCTTCCCCCTCCCCTCCCCCCAATCCCCAATTTTTGCTTGTTTACACATTGCCACTAGAAAATATGGGAAGCTGCTGGGTGTGTCCCATTGTGAAGTGTCTTGACCTGCATTATGTTAGCCTGCATCGTCGTAAGATGTCGATCTTCCTGCCTCCTTTGTCTTCCTGGTGCTTTGCAACCCTTCTGCAGTGGTACTCATCGTCATCCTTTTTCAAGTCATCACCATCAATATCATCATTTTCATCATTAAGTGCCGACTCGTTAGACGATAATATAGTATATTTTATAAAACGCATTTTTAACCTGTATTATTTCGTTCTTTATCTCTGTGATACACTACTCATTGGATATTATTCATGTGCCTAGATATTTAAATTGTTGTCATAGTGGACGTCTGTGGCTTAGGCGTTGCGAACGCGCTTCGGAATACCGGGGTGACAGGTTCGATCCCTGCTGCGGACGGCTTGTCTTGCAATGGTTTCGACCGTGGTTCGAGAGCCGACCCTTTAGGTTTGGCAAACTGGACGTAAATTTGCCTAGAAAAACCACAACTTCCAGAAAGTGCTTGGGTTGGTTCTGCAACATCCTGTAAAGAGCTCAACTAATTCAGTTGTCCTAAAATAACATATATTTTTTTTTCTACAAATTTAGACGCGGTGTCCGTGGCTAAGGCGTTGCGAGTCCGACTCGTAAGCCAGCATACCGCGATCGAAACCCACTGCAGGCTGCGCGGATTTTTATCGTAGTATGGGACGTCGCAGGCCAACCCAGCCTAAAATGGATACCAGGATGGGCTGTCCTGGGAAGTAAAGACAGCCGGCGTAATGCTGACCACATTACCCACAGAGTACTGATGGTCTGTAAAAATATGGGACGCTCTGCCCATATGCCCGATGCGCCGAAAGGCGTGAAAAGGGATCTTTACTTTTACTTACTTACTTACAAATTTAGACATTATTCTTTTCTTTGATATTACTGCCGTAGTTTCATTATTCAAACTGAGCCCCGTTTTGTAACTTTCTACCACCATCGTATCACTTTATAAAAGCACCCTATCTTTGTTACTGCGAACTTGAAATGTCTGATTTTCATACAAATATTATACTATAATATATATTGTTTAACATTAAACAAACGTAGACTAACTTCATGTAGCATCGAAACAAATATGAAAATAAAGTTCACAAGTTATTCGAAACATTAAGAAACCAAAATAAATTAGCTGTTATATTAAATTATAACATATTCGGCATATTTGGCCTGTTTAAGTGTCACGCGGTTTATCCTTAGCCGAGCAATAGCAGCATTTGTAATCCTGAAATTGATATGACGAAGTTGGCCCAAGGCAAATCGATTTTTCTTTTTCAATATCTGACACGTTGATAGTCTGACGTTGTCCTTATCTGGATTGTTTACATATATGCCAAGTAGGGCTGTAAAATAACATGTGCCAAAGTACCTCTCTGCAACTTTACATTCATACAAACAAGTGTAAGCCCGTGTTTCAACCTGCAGTATAGAAATATAGCATTATCTAGCATGCTAAAATGATAGGCTTTTGGAGAAAAATGTTGATAAGGGAAATCAGATCTTCCCTGTTCTTCGTATGATAAATGTAAACCCTCTATAAGCTTGTACAGCGACACTAAATCCGATGTAATAAATACGGATGAGAGAAATGTAAACACAATTTAGCAAAGGACAGAACGACCAGGTAGAAAAAAAAAAAGAAGAAAGAAAATGCGGAAAGGGGGTGGTGTCTGAGGAAGAATAAATCAACAGCAGAATATGATAATGCCGAAACTGAAGAGAGAGGCTGAAGTATAAGCGGAGCTGTGTTAGACAATGTGCAACATGTGCAGCTGAACAGGGCAGTAACATGTTTTGGACGGTAAAATTATAAGAGTGGCAAAATATAACCGCTTAGCCGAGGGAAAATGGGGCATAAATAAATGACTGCAGACAGGTGTCATCATCTTATACATTGCCATGGGTGTAAGTTACAGCAGAAGTAAAAGATTGAATAAAGAAGAGGAGACGGCTAGAAAGAAGAAGGAGGATGAGAGGAATAAAAAAGAATGAGAAAAAGCAAACTGACTGAAGAAGAAGAACAACAACAACAACAAGAACAAGGAGGAGGTGGAGGAGGTTGAGGAAAAGAAGAACAAGAATAAGAAGAAGCAGAAACAAAAGAGGAAGAAAAGAAGCAACAACAGCAGCAGCAGCAGCAGCAGCAGCAGCAGAAGAAGAAGAAGAAGAAGAAGAAGAAGAAGAAGAAGAAGAAGAAGAAGAAAAAGAAGAAGAAGAAGCCAAAACAGAATAACGAACGAACTTTATTTTCAAAGGGTCACAAACTGGGCACACATGCCGATCTTGTATTCAGCTCTTCCAAACACCCATTTGTCACACAGCAGTTATATTTTATCACTAAAACATGTTATGTTCATGTAATAATCCGCATATTATGAATATTAAAAAAAACACACACACACAAGCATAGGTGGTAAAATGCATTCGCACACGAAGAGGAAGGAGAAGGAGGAGACAGGAAGAGGAAGAGGAGGAAGACAAGAAGAAGAAGAAGAAGAAGAAGAGGAAGAAAAGTAAGGAAGGAAAAGGAGAGGCAGGAAGAGGAGGAGAAAAAGAAGAACAAGAAGAACCAAATTTTCCCACAGGATGAGCTCAACTTTCTGAAGTCAGTCCTTCTCATTCACAATTTTAGCAGATTACGTTAACACTATTCTTTGTTTTTCTTATGAGCACCATTTTGCATCAAAATATAATCTCTATCTAGTAGTTTACTTAATATTGTTATTCCTCTTCTTTGAATTCGGAGTGCCTCTGCCTGTTAGACGAGGAACCAACAGCCTGCATACAACTAAGCCAGATCTGTATAACCGACGGATGCATGTAAAACTCAAATTCGGGAACAGCATTAATGTCCAGACGTGGACAAACACCTAGAACTTTCTGCCTGAGTTTACAGCCGATGAACGCGAAGAAGAAGAAGGAAGAAGAAAAGAAGAAGAAGAAGAAAGAAGAAGAAGAAGAAGAAGAAGAAGAAGAAGAAGAAGAAGAAAGAAGAAGAAGAAGAAGAAGAAGAAAAAAAAAAGGACGTTTACAATAATTTCCTGTCTTTATTACTTTTTGACAGCAGTGAAGACGATTGAAAAGAAGGCAAACGATTAAAGAAAAAAGGGATGGGGAAGTGGGGGGGGGGGGGTGGGGACGGGGGTCCTTGAATCTGAGGATTTATGACCCCATGACCAATTCAGTCGCCCCGAACCGTTCAAGCAAGAATTGTTGTGATTGCCCCTGACACATTCAAACCAGTCGTCCAGTTATCTCCTCCTACCATCCTTATCTCTGATTCAAGACAAATATACTGGAATTTAATTTGTTGCTTTGTTTTTACAAAATTTACAGAAGTTAACACCATTTGCCACAAGAGTAATTCCTCAACACTGTGGAATGAATATTATACAACTTGTCAACTCAATGTACTAAATACCAGAATCTGGCGTACTGTTAAAATGAAACGATGGAAAGCAAGAATTCGTCTGCCAGTTTGGCCATTACCTCAGATTCATCGCTTCAGAAACTGTTGACTGTTGCCTCCTCATTAGTGCTTTGCGGTTGTATAGTTGCCATGGTAACAAAAGTAGTTTTCTTCAAAGTGTTCCCGAAAATTTGGAAGTGCTGCCTTTTGTCTCAGGATGTGGCTTGTTTTCTTCTGAGTATAGGGTTGCTTTTGGTGGCTTGTAATCTGGGTGGCGCGAGAGGCTCAACGTGCAAAGCTGGAGGTAAGTAATTGAAGATATCCATCCCTCCATCCATCTGCCAATCTGCATGCCTGCCTGCATAGCTACTTATCTACCTACCTGCCTGCATGCCTAACTACCTACCTATATATCTGCCGAACTGCCTTCATTTCCACCTACCTACTTACATCCCTACATACCTACCTGCCCGCCTGTGAACCTGTCTATGCATGTGTCTGTCCCTTTACCTGAGGTCTGTCTGTCTGTCTGTCTGTCTGTCTGTCTGTCTGTCTGTCTGTCTGTCTGTCTGTCCGTCCGTCCGTCTGTCTGTCTGTCTGTCTGTCTGTCTGTCTGTCTGTCTGTCTGTCTGTCTGTCTGTCTGTCTGTCTGTCTGTCTGTCTGTCTGTCTGTCTGTCTGTCTGTCTGTCTGTCTGTCTGTCTGTCTGTCTGTCAATCTGTCTGTCTGTCTGTCAATCTGTCTGTATACCTGCCTGCCTGTCTGTCTCTCTGTAAATCTACATTTAGTCTTGATAATCTAGTTATCTTAGTTTAAGCTTCATAGCAAATAGAAGGCATTCGACCGCGTGGACAGAGATGTGCTGTGGAGAATTCTTGACGATTACGGAGTGCAGGGTCAATTATTAGACAACATCAGAGCCCTCTATGAAAAAAGTGAAAGTGCACTAAGAACATCTAGTGGTCTTTCTGAATGGTTCAAAGTCACAACTGGTGTCAGACAAGGATGTGTACTGTCACCATTACTTTTCATAACATACATGGATAAGATCACTGTAGAAGCAAACCCAGACGTGTATGCTATAAACGAATTGCTTTTTGCTGATGATCAAAGCATACTGTATCAAAATGAATATGATCTACAGGAACATCTGACTACTCTCAACAACAGCTGTTTACAACATAATATGAGAATCAGTACAGAAAAAACAGAAGTTATGAAGATCAGCAGAACACACAGGCCACTGAATATAAATGTTGGAAGTGCCAAAATCAAGCAAACCAAAGAGTTCAAATACTTGGGCAGTATATTTACAGAGGATGGAAGAATGGACAGAGAGATAGAAACAAGAATACAGAAAGCAAATGCTGTCACATACCAACTATCACCTCTGCTTAAACATCCAGATATAACCATGAAGACCAAAAGACAATTGATAAACACCATCTTCATTCCAACACTCTGCTACCAGTGCCAGACATGGACAATCAACAAGACCCATGAAAGAAAAATAGAAGCCTGTGAAATGAAATGTCTAAGAAAAGCAGCGAATAAGACCAGACTAGACAGGATAAAGAACATAGACATTAGAAACACTGTCAAAACTACACCATGTTTAGACTACATAGAACATCAAAGAATGAAATGGTTTGGACATCTAACCAGGATGAAAAATGACCGAATAACATCACAAATTTTCAACCAAAGAAGCTCAGGATATAGGGCAAGAGGAAGACCAAGGAAACGGTGGATTGACGGGGTCTCCGAAACCTGCCAAAAGCATGGCCTCAGAACATCAGATGCTGCCCGCCTTGCTTATGACAGGAACTTGCATCTCCCCACAACGCTTAGCGGCATGCGTGGAAGGAAAAAGTAAGTAAGCAAACGGGTCACCCTATAGTTGCTCCGCTTCCGTATTAACGAAAAACAACAGAATGCCCATCACTTTCCCTCGTGGAAAAAAATAACACAGACTGTTGTCTCAGCATATGCACTAGCATACACACGCACTAAAAGCATAAGGCAGCCATATCTATATTCAACTACACGAAGGGGCAGAGTGTATAAATGTGATCGAAGTCCTCTGTAGGCCAGTAAATCAATAATGCAATGATTCCACTGTTTAGGCAATGTGAGTTTCTTCTGAAATGTTGCCACTAATATCAAGAATAATCCTCAAACACGAGAAACGAAATGCACAAAAATATAGATGAGGCAGACACACTTACGCCAATGTTTGTCACCTACACAGGCAGTCAATTATCCGTAACAATGCAATGCTTAAAAAAATTCCGCACTGAAGGGAATTCGATTCCAGCCTGATTACATAACCTGTGAATAAACTCAAGGAAGCCCGTCTTCGGGATCAAGATTAGAGAGAATACAACCAAAGTCTCATAGGAACAGTGAGCAGCAGTTGGCGTTGACTGCTGCAATGGAAGGATAGTGAGCATACTTTTGATCATTTCTCCAGGCTATGCCGGCGTGGTGGGTATTGAACAGCCAGACAGATTGGCTAGATCTGCACCACTGGGTGGTGAATTGATGCACAACAAGGCAGATTTGGTCAAGGCCTTTTGGGAACAAGCAGCGGAATCAGTAAAGAAACAAGATTATTATGGCCTAGAGATAATAATGAGGCAACTGGGTGTAACCAGAGGGTCTGGCCGGCTCACTACACTCATAGGAAAGACAAGACGGACATATAACCAGATTGTGACCGGTACCATCAGTATTGGAACTCTGCGCTGGCTGTTGAAGATGAGGACGGAGCACACATGGAAATGCCCCGAGTGCTGTGATGTCAATTCTTGACTCAGCTCACCTCAACTGGAAGGCTGAGCACGTATGTTCAATATGCAGTGATGTCGACTCTAGTAACATTACTTTTTAATAGTAAATACAGATAAAGTATGTTTTATGTTTATGTTTATTCAACGGATCAACATCTGGCACACGGGTGTAACCCATAAGTGCTCCGTTTTACTTCAAACGCAAGACTGAGTCTGAAGAATCACAGCGCATTGCACGAACTCCGTTGCACCGGCGAGGATCCTGAAATACGTTGGGTAGATTTTTAACTCTACATTTTGTCCGGGCAGCGCCGCTAGGTTACTTTTGTTTGGATTTCCAACTGCCAAGGTATTTTTTACGTGCCAAACAAAACACACTATCCTACCACCCAGAGACCTACGGAAATTACTAGAAGTTCACCTGAAAAAATCCCAGCCTTCACCCGGGTTTGAACCCGGGACCTCCAGCACTCTAGGCAGACGTCTTACCTCGAGACCACTTGGTAAAATAAAAGTACTGTTATACGCTAGCGGCTCATCCGGTATATGAGGCTCGACTCAGATTTTTAAAGACACCACGCCAGCCGCCTTTACTTCCCATGTTACCTGGCACCCTTTTAAGGCTGGGTCGACCTGGGAGACAAGGTAATTTATAAGTATAAATTCAGCTCGATGCGGGTTTGAAACGACCTTCTGATCCACAGGCGAGCGTCTAGCCGTTACACCACGGCCGCGCCCCTAGTATATAGGGCGGAAAATTAATAAGTAAGTCACAGATGGTTATGGGATGGCACGAAAAATGTAGTTGGTGGTTTCTAAAGGTGTCATTAGATGACAGCAACATTGAACTTGATGTCTCCGTTCTTTAATTGGTGTTGCATACGCTTTCGCACCACAGAAACAAAATAGCGACTGTACTTACGGAGTATACCCTTAAAGAACAACGTGATATTGTGCGTTTGGGGGAAGGGGGTGGGGGGGGGGGGGGTGCACTCGGGCCGCCTGCAAAGGACATTCATAAGGAAATGCTTCCTTAAAATGCTAACAAATGTTTATCCGGTAAAGCGGTGCACAGCTGCTTCATACTGTAAAGTTCTATCGATGCTTCATGATGCACTTAGAAGAAAATGCCCAGGCCTGCTGACTAGAGGAGTACGGCTCCTTTATGACAATGCCAGACCATATACGACTCGGTTAACTCAGGAGACAAATAACTATTTAGGGTGGAAACTTCTGGAACATCCACCTTACAACCCCGACTTAGGCCATAGCGATTTCCACCTTTTTGGTCCTCTGAAAACCTATATTGGCGGAAGACATTTCGCGAACGACGCAGATGTTGAATGTGAAGTAAAAATGTGGTTTAGAAAACAGAGCACGCAGTTCTATGCAACAGGTTTGGGAGGTCTGATTAAAAGATGGGACAAGTGCATCAATGTTGGTAGAAATTATGTTGAAAAAAAAAAAAGGGACAGTGTATGTGTAAAAATAAATGGTTTTTAAATTTTCATAGTTTTTCTTAAACAACCATTTGTGACTTACTTATTGACTTCCACTCGCACGTTACCTTTAATATTGAAAGAGGAGGAAACCCTTTTACATATGCCAATTAATTTTGAATTTGCAGGTTTCTTTGTTGTATTTGGTTTTCTGGACTTCTTGTCTTCAATTGCTATAACCGGCATCGCTCTTCTGATTATACAGAATCCAACGAAGATGTCGCAGCTGTCCACGTTCAGGTATGTTCTGTTTATCTGTTTGTTTCTCCCTCCAGGATTACTTGTCTGCAGAATTACCATGTCAGAGATTTGTTTCCTCTTTGTGAGTTTACCCTGTTTAACCTGTATTTGAAAGGTTTTAATTATGTTGTTTGTTGTTGCTTTTTCCTTTTTCATTCGCATGAAGGTTGCAGTTGATTTGGCCCATCTTCCTACGGGTATTTTCTGCAACATTCGCTAGCAAAATCGGGCGTGGCTCTCGGGTATATGCTTCTCTCCGTCTGTGGCTTGAGGGTCTGTTTGATATTGCTTTGTTTGGGGCTGCCCTGATAAGGGCCTAATCCCGGTAATGACTACACTGACCTCTTCTGTATCGTCTTGTTCTCTGGCTCGTTTCCGACTGGCCCACTGGCGAATGAAACAGGTATACATGCCAGAAACTCTGTTTAGCCATATAACACATGTATATTAGATATATTAGGTATATTTTATATAGTATGAATGAAATGATGAATTAAAGAAGAAAGATTAAAGAGGCAGATGTTAGACGGATCTGCATGCCCTATTATTTACCATTTGGAAAAAAAAAGAAATGTTTGTTTATTTGTTCGTTCGTTCATCTATTCTACGTTCTGGTGTCTCTACTTTTTAACTGACTGTGCTTCAGTAACAGCATCATAAAATGTTTAATGTTTACGATAAAAATTATTTTTGATTTAGCCTATGACATTCTACGAGCCACAAGAAGCGATGATTGGAGTTTTCACTAGATTTGATTTAAAGACATTTTATACTAGTATATATGGTATGTTTCTGCCTGTATTTCTTTACTATTTTAATAATTATTCACGTTTATCCCAACAATTCTATATTTTAAGTTTCCATCGTTTTGTCTGTCTATCGGTTTGAATGTCCGTCACTTTTTCTGACTGATTTTCTGGTTACCGTACTGGTCTCTGCCTATTCGTCTTTTTGTCTGTCTGTACCTAAATCTGTCTTACCGCACATCAATATCTTTGTCAGCCTGTGCGATTACTGGTTTAACTGTACGTCCTATCATTGGTTCTGTTTTCATTTATATGCGCCTGTAAGCTTTTCTTTAAAACTACCTGGCATTTGATACCATAACATCTAGTTTGAGAATGAAGGAGGAGGCTGTTATTGCAGCCTCCTGCTTCTCTGTACTTGAGAACCAGCAGCTCATACATTTCCCGATTTTAGCAGACACACAAAGAACACTGAAAAAGGCGGAAACAGACTTGTTCTGTGCAGAAAGGCAAGTATTGTTCCAGCGCTCCTAGCAGTGTCTCTTGAATTCCCCCCCCCCCCCAGGTGTAAAAGGAAACGACCAGAAAGACAGACTTGCTGGTTCTGCACCATTTGATGGTAAAAAGATGCACGATAAGCTAACTGTGGTCAAGGTCGTTTGAAACAGTTGGAACAAAGCGAAAATAGAAATGGGTCATTACGCTATATAGAAAGATTGGTGCATCGGAAAGTGACCAGGGAATATGGCCTATATTCAACATTAGGAGGATCTTCGCCGGTGCTACAGAACCTGTGCACTGTGCTGAGCTTCTTCGGACTCACAAGAGTTTGAAGAAGAACGGAGCACTCATGGGTTACACCCGTATGCCTTGATGTTGATCCCTTGTTCAAAACCTCAAACCTTAACATTAGGAGGAAAGACAAGAAGAACATACAATCAGATTGCTGCTTCCACCTTCGGAACTGGAACTCTGCGCTGGCTGCTT